GTGTTGAATGAATATTTTACCTATGTAATTTTCATGAAAAAGATTCTTGGAAGTTGTCTCTTAAAATGTTGAAATATATAGTATTCGTAGAAGGAAAATGGTGAAATTCTGGAAGATGAAGAGTTTGAGTTTGGCATGTTTTGGTTCACCATTGTTTTGTGGAGTTATATAAGCAATAAAAGAAAAATGCTCACGATTTAATATTGATAAGAATCTTGCATGTTACCAATGACGTCACATATTGAGAATTTGATTTTGATGTTGCATAATTTTAATTTTAATTTTTATATTTATTTTTACATTTTCACGATTTGACATTAACAAGAATCTTGCATATTACCAATGAAATCGCATATTGAAAATGCAACTTCACTTGAAATCGGATGTTGCAAATGTAATTTCAATGAAGTTGCATTTTGAACATGCGATTTCAAGTGTGTCACTCAACATTATCACCGCTACAACATAAAAATAATACAAAGGACAAAGTACAATATAGTGGGACAGAAAAAAAAATTATAAAAAGATAGTGAACATAAAAAGAAAAATTACTGTAAACACCGTACTTCAAATCATTGTAGTAGTCACGGGACTGAAATTGATGGCAGATGAAATCGCATGTTGAGAGTGCGATTTCAAGAGAAGTTGCATTTTGAATATGCGATTTCAATTGAAGTTGCATTTTGAATATGCGATTTTAAATGAGTGCATGTGCAAACACCGTACTTCAAATCATACTTGAAATCCACGAGACTGGTGAAATTGCATGTTGAGAATGCGATTTCAAGAGATGTCCAAATAGCAATGTAACAGTCTCAAGTAGTGGGTCACATAACTATGATTATCTAAATCGATTGTACCATGTGTTGTATTTCAATATTGAATGTAATGTTATCAATCTTAATTTATGTTGTATGTCGTATCATATTTCTTAATATAAAAATGTGTTATAATATTTATATTTTTATGAGTAAAATGAAGTAAATGATAAACATTACAATTGACATAGTTGTAGTTTTATGTAAATTGTCAATTCAGAGAGTTGTCAATTGACATGGTTGTCACCAACGATGTGAAATTTCAAAACAAATACATTAAGCCTAACATTTTCCATATAATGACGCTAATCTCCTTTTTAGTAAAGTTAAATAGAATGAAACTAATGCAAATATTGTATAAGTACAAAATAAACACCGTAAAATATATAATTTTGTTTTAAAATGATGACAATATTATTTTTTCATTCATATAAGTAAAAAAAAATTATTGATGAAAATTAAGTATTATTCAATTAAAAAAACAGAAGGACGAAAATCAAATAGTAGTGATATAATACATTTTTGAATTCTTGCATCTAGACCTTGATCCTTGTTCTTTGGTTAGATATGTTATTTTTCAAGCCAAACTGCTCTTTCTAGTGTACTCCCAAAGATGACAAATTAGTTTATTACCATTCATTGGTTTCATTTACAGTCCTAGAACAGCATTGAAGTTCTCTTTTTAATACTTCATATTGTTCTCTAGTGTTTGATTGCTAGTTGGTGAGGAGACCCATATTTTTCCTTGCAGGGCTCACATTTGTAGATGAGTAAGGAGTAACCAATAAACCTTTGAATTTCAATTTTAAATGTTATTTTTAGAATGAGTTTTGTAATTGTGAAAATTTGAAACCGCATTTTCAAAATGAGAGTTTTTATTGAAATTTCCTGTTGAAATTGCAACTTCAACCTACTATGTCAGCGCAACAGAAGACTGTCAATTTGAAATTTGAAGACTGTCAACTTAAAATCACATTTTTGAGTTTAAATTGAAATTGCATATTGAAAATGCAATTTCAATGTAATTTTAGGTAGTTAAAACTGCATTTTCAACTTGTCACATCAGCGAGTCATTGTCTATGTAGACTTGAAATGTAGACTTTTGTCCATGTAGACTTGAAATTACATTTTAAACATGCAACTTCAAGTTGAAATTACATGTTAAAAATGCAATTTCAATTTGAAAGGGCATGTTCGAAATGTGATTTCAAAAGTGGGCTAATTTTCCAAATAGTTTGAAAAATTAGTCAATTCTCTAAATTATTTTTTTTAAATATTAAAAAAAAAACCCACGACATACCTAATTGTTATAATTTTTAAAAAAATGTCAATATTTTTTAAAAATGGAAAATACTGAAAACAAAAAATTATTTTGAATTTTTTATATATAATTTTTGAGGAAATAACAACACAGTGGGGACACGAAAAAAAATTATAAATTAGTAATAAAATTTATACAATTTAATAATTAAAATGCTATAATTTTTACAATTTTATAAAGGAGCAATTTGGAAAGTTAGTAAAAATTCAATTTTTTGACTTTTTAACCTTTTTTTTTAATACAAAAAGTCACCCAAAAAAAACCAACTTTTTTAACCAAAAAAGTCAATAAAAAACTAAAAAAAGTCAAAAAAAATAAAAAAGAAGGTTGCGTTTGGTTGAGTTTTGTAAATATGATTTGAGAGTATGAGTTGTATTTTGAGTTTGTGAGTTGTTGAATTATGATTTGAGTGTAGAAAATTTGTTTGGTTATGATTTTTGTATAGTGTGTTGAATTGAGTTTTGAATTGAGTGCGGAATTGAGTTTTAAAAATTTGATTTGACATGTGTATTAAGAAAATTTGTTTGGTTATGAGTTTTGGAAAGAGTTTTCAAAACTTAATTCAAATTGTTATCATTCATAACAAAACACACTACTTTCACACTATTAATGGTTGGTTTGGGAAGTGGGTTGACTTTTTAACTTTTTGGCTTTTTTGGCTATTTTAGCCTGGGCTAAAAAGCTTGGTTTGGGAAGGGCTTTTTGACTTTTTTAACTTTTTTTGTGAGAGAAGAGTGTAATGACATTTGAGCCACATTTGAGCCACAGAATTTGGGCCCTCTACCATTGCTCTAAGAAAATTTGTTTGGTTATGAGTTTTGGAAAGAGTTTTCAAAACTTAATTCAAATTGTTATCATTCATAACAAAACACACTACTTTCACACTATTAAGGGTTGGTTTGAGAAGTGGGTTGACTTTTTAGCTTTTTGACTTTTTTGGTTATTTTAGCCTGGGCTAAAAAGCTTGGTTTGGGAAGGGCTTTTTGACTTTTTAAACTTTTTTTGTGAGAGAAGAGTGTAATGATTATGGGTTGGATGTGATGTTTTGTTTGTTATGGCTAAAATAGCTTATTTTGTTTTTTATGGCTAAAATAGACAAAAAAGCCCGCAACTTATCTTCCCAAACGGAGCCTTAAATTCTGATCAATACTCATAACCAAACTCTCTTTAAAATTCAATTAAAAAAAATTATTATTAACAGAAAATAACATTAATCAATTTTTTAATTGAAAATACTACAAAGGAAATATTTTTTTTTTCAAAATAAATATTCGAAAAATTTAAATCATAAATATTTAAATAATTTAAATAATCTAAATAATTTAATAAGTAAAAAATTAAAATAAATATTCAAAAAATTTAAATCGTGAAAATTTAAATAATTTAAATATTCAAAAATTTTAAATAATTTCAAATATTAATATTTTAAATTTAAAAACAACTCTACACTCAAATCGTAACCAAACACATAAAACAAAACTCAATTAAGAAATTATTTTTAAAACTCATAACCAAACACATAACTCGAAACTCCATACTACTTTCACACCTCTACACTCAAATCGTAACCAAATATATAACAAAAAAAATATTTAAAAATATTTTTATAAAATAGAGTTTGAATTTATTTTTATAAAATATTTTAAAATTTTAAAAATTAAAATCGTAATATTTTGAAATTAAAATATTTAAAAAAATTCAAAAAACAGTATCGGTATTTTGGGAATCAGTTATCTACAGGTATTAGATTTAGTTTTGGGACAATAATTTGGGGAACAATGATCAGTGGTCGAATATAGTTATTCAGCTATGTATTGATTGGGCTAAGATGCTGCCTATTTTCTCTTTCAGGGTTCGGAGATTCAGTTCAGAGCAACCAGTGTTCTCCTTTGCTGAGGCAAGACAGAAAAAGGCTCATCGGTTCATCAGATCCGTCAGTCACCAGTCCGGTCCATCTGATCCGTCGGTCACCAGTCACATCACCTCTGTTCAGTTCAGCAAAACTCGTGATGACGCAAAATTCGGAAGAAATTATGGCAGCCGCATCAGA